CAGAAACGTACACTTATATTCGCAACGAATATTAATAAACGCATCTCCCTTTGTACCTTCTTTTTACAAAAAGCAAACAGTAAAAGAAGTAATATGAGTAGTATGATATGTAATAATCACTTCAGACGCTTCCAAAAATAAAAGAGATTATTAAATGGAACGCTTTTATTCATGTTCATAGTATAATTGAGTAAATTTATTTTGCTCATTTATATATAAGCTCATTTTCAGAGATTATGAATATATATATGTTGCTATTCGGAATATCATTCAAAATATCAGGATTTTCGCATTAATATTTTATCTAGATTTTTTATAAAATCTGTTTTCTAAGTCCAAGTCTACAAAAATTATTGCAAATTTATTTCATTCACAAAAAACAAACTTCTTACTTCTTATTATTTATTCTAAATAGAAAATATAATGTAAAGATATATTAAAGATTAAATCTCAAATTCTTATTTGTAATTTTTATTTGTCTAATTTTTATAATTTCCTCTGCTTTTTATGACTTTTGGAAAAGAATTGTTGAAGTGCTTCAAAATCTAAAAGCTGTAGCTCCGCATATCTATCAATATAGTTTATAAAGCATAGCAGAAACGTTTAAAGGCTTTCCAAATCGTTCAGGGTCACGGTGAGATGTAGGTTGTATACTTATATATATATATATATATATATATATATATATATATACTGTTTATACAAAGACTAACTCTAAGTACTATAGATACTAGCTAGAAATTTTTTTGGAAGCTATTAATCTGCAACCAGACTTTTAGAACTGCCCTCAAAAAAGAGTCAATTTTAAATTTATGAAAAAATACACACACATCTTTATACATATCTTAATATATTTTATAATCTAATTATGATATCATTAATAAGGATTGTTACATGTCAATTATTTGCTGAATATGTTTACACAAGTTAATAGCTTTCATAATTAATTATTTATAACAATGTCATATCAGCATTTGATATTCTGTATTATAACATAATAGCACTATAACATATAAGCTCATTTTCAGAGATTATGAATATATGTTGCTATTCGGAATATCATTCAAAATATCAGGATTTTCGCATTAATCTCGTATTAGATATGCTTCAAATAATTGACGATATCGTCCCAATAGTGTAAATGTTAACACATATTCGCGAATTATTATGTTATAATATCATCTCATAAGATATCATTTTCTCATAAGATATACATATAATAAATTACTCCCATAAAGCACTTAATATTACAATAATATTTACTTACACAGGTTACTTATGTAAATAATAAAATTAATTACATTAATAATGAAAAAAATTAATACAAAAGAAACATATTTTAGAAGAAATAAATTTAATAATAATAAGAAATAAAATAACGAAGAGTAATATATATCGCGAAAAAAAAATGTAATCACATTTCTCTCATCTATATTCAAGTCGCAAGACTCCTGCATAAGATTTAATTTACGTCTCCGACGTCAGGTTAAGCGAGAATCAAAAAGCAGGATAAAAAAAGAAAAAATTGAATAAAATCGATTGTGAAATGCAATTAAAAGGAACGATACATAAAATTTATTGGATGAAGTAATCACGATTCAATGAGAAAAAAACTTAAGCATATACGTACAGAATGAATAAATAAAACATGTGAAAAAAGTTTCTTTAATCATTTAATTCGGACAAAATAACGTTATTTAAATCTAAAAATTAGACTGTGCGCATAAAAAAAAACAAAATAAAAATATTCAACATCACCAGATTAAACTACTACATTAAAACATCAAGTATCGAATTAAATTTTATCCTCACATTGATCTGACGCCTCTTGTACGCAAACTTCAATAAGTTGCAAACTGTAACAATCTTGAAAAGAATAACACATTTGGAAAACTCGTGCGGCTTCAGAATAATGCTATCGGACACGTGTATATTGGCAAACTTATTTGCTTTCGTTGCAATTTTCTTGTAAAGTTGCGAAATATAAATTATAGATTTTGTTTTTCTATTGTAATATTCAATTTTTGTCAGTTCTTTTTGCTGATGCAATTGTGAGACAATAAATATATAAATTATTACTAGTATTATAAGAAAAATAGATAATTATGTGTGTATGTGTATTTTTTATAATCTAACAAGAATTTATATATTTTCCTGTTTCACAATTTACATATTTTCTTGTTTTATGATTTTATCATATTTCTATAAAAAAGTGTATATAATAAGTATATAATAAGTTCATAGTAATATATAATAAATCCATAAGAAATAAAAAGTTTGGTTTGCAAATTTTGCGAAAAAATATTGCCTGAAAAATATTGTCTCTACTATTAATAACGTAATAAAACTCAACAGAAGTGTTGCTTTGTCTAACAACAATCTTTCATTCATATTTATCGATCGGTCTAGGGATCTAATTATCCAAGTCTAGTTGGTTAAGAATGCTTGATCGATCGTATACAATCGTAGTACTCCTTTTTATACGAGAATTTATTCGATGAATGAACAAATGAACTTGTTCTTTACGATTAGTCTATATTTTTTTCAAGACAATATCTGCTAATCAACACAATTTCATATGGATTAAATTAATATGACACTCAAATCGCATAATATAGAGACGTTAATATATTTTTTACAGTTTTTAATATATCAGTTTTTAATATATTAGTTGTTGAAACCTTCAATATTATATTAACATCCTATGACAGCGCATTATTAACATTTAATTTTTAAACAATTCGTATACTTGTGCAAATAACGAATTACAATATTTGTATCAACATCGTCCTATCACATTTCACGTGCAAATCTTCGATGAAACCATGCATGCGCATTTCTCGCAGTGCAAACGTATGAAACGAATAATGCACCACTGACGCTTTCAAATTGATTAAATCGCAATAATTGAAGAAGCAAGTCCATATAAAGGGACTATGTTACTTTTATATAATATGAATCTTAGTTCAAATCTTGAATAGCCAAGATAAAAATATGACACTTTGTAAGAAATCGCTCCTTTACATATAAAAAATATTGCTCCTTTACATATACTTGGCTCTTCAATTGATAAATTAATGAATCATCGGCGTTTCAAATACGCTGATAAACGAGCCCAAACACAAAATTCAATAAGAGAAGGCAAGACGCTTCCGCGAACAATAAAAAAAAATAAGAGAAAGGGTAGGGGGTCGATAAGAGAGTAGGCGCTCATTTTACTTTCCATTATTTTCCCTTGTAAATCTTCCAAGCAGAAGCTAATTTCTTTCGGAGTTGATACATATACTGAGCAAAGCATTCCATGGGCCGTTCGCTGCGCACAATGCGCAGCACCGCACCAAACATCGATAACTCGGCAGTGCGTGAAAGCCTTTTTCGCCCAAGGTGCAAGCTTCCCCATTCCATTCCATTGGCAGCGCATTCCAAGCTCAGGAAGAACGATTTTAAAATTTGGCTGGATAATTTTATAATGCCTCGGTACACACTTTTTATAAATAAATTATATATTTAGTTTATTTTTTCCAATTTTAACTGCACGAATGACGTGCGGATGAAAAGAAACAATATAAATCAGAAGTACCCAGCGTTATCTTATAATTTTATATATATCTCTCTTATATTATATATATGATCTCTTTATCATTTTTCTTGTATATGTCTCGCTTCTGTAATATATATATATACATATATATTACATATATGTACACCATTGGTTTACTTATATTTTATATACTGGATTGATAGTCTATATCATATATCGCTCCTTAATTTGATATTATCATGCTAATATTACAAGGTACTATCACAGGAGGGACGCTGGATTTATATTTTTTTTTTCAGGTAATAATATATAAATTTTATTATCACAAAACGATCGTACTTTCGTCGCATTATAGCGGCGGGGGTACAATCAGTAAGCGGTCCAACATCGAACATCGCAAGCTTGTGTGTGTTTTATAATGCCTTGTGCTGGTGGATATGTCGGGGGATCTCGGGGAGGTCTGTGTCCGGCGCCGAAGGTCACACGATGTGGGACATACAAAGCCTCTGTGAACATTGTGCATTCGGCATCAATGGAAGCTGCGTGACAAGGGCGATGAGAAAACGCCACAAAATGAAAAGAGGAGGAGGAAATTACGGAATAATTCAGAAATTATAATTAATCATGCTTCATGGCGATCTATCGTGTTCTCCTAATTTTCCATCGAAATTTGTACGCTTCGAACTTGTTGCACGATTAATTTCGTTAAGCGAAATGAAAGAGAGAAAATAATTGTATTAGAAGACAATTTACAGGTAAGTATATCGATCAAGACAGGTAAAAAAAAGATGTCGAATCGAAAAAAAAAACACGTGAGTCACAACAAACGCGCATCATCGTATTTTCCCCTGTATATCACTGTGGATATACCGCATTTTGCCCAGCTGTTTAGCAACGAGTACTCGATGGATCGCGCGAAAAAGGAAAGGATATCGACTCGACCGTTCCATGTCACATGTACAATTTCCCAGTCGAATCAGCATTCGTGGAAGAACTATTCGCTAGCGGAATCCAATCTCACATGTTACTTTTTACTTTGTTAAGTTTTAAGTCAACAGTTACATAAGTTGTATATTCAAATTGAAGCTAAACTTTAAGAGTAATTATCATTCGTAAAAATGCAAAATTTATATGCACACCCAATTCAATGTTAAATATATAAATATAAACGTGTTCAAGAAGATATAAATTCGTTATAGATTTATGTATTCTAAAAATAACGATTTTTTTCCAAAAGTTGACTCAATATACTCTTACGTAAATATCAAAAGAGGGAAGTGAAAATGAAAACCGACAAACTCCACTCACGACGAAAAATTGATAAGAGGTAGGGAAATGAATAACGACAAAGAATATGAGAAAGGGAGTGGACTAGGCATGATATAATCAGCCGATTGTCAATGTCAGCCTTCCAGTGGATCGAGAGAAAACAATCGATATCACAGGTGAATGCACTCACCGCTGCTTCGTCTTAACACGACGATAGCGGTGAAATTCCGATGGGTCGTTGGGGTCGAAGCCCCTACGATGTTTCGGCGGTGAAGACATGGCGGCCGCCTTTTTAGCTTTTCTATCACTCTGTTTTGCAGTGGTGGTGGTGATGATGTTGTTAGCGCTGATGACAGCGCACACAGTGCCGTTGTTGTTGCCGATATGTAAAGAGGTAAGCGGCGGTGGCGAGGGTGGCAGTTGGGCGGAGGAACGGACGGCACCGGCGGACAATCGCTCCGAGGGATGACAGCGGCAGCCTGATGCTGGTGGCTCGCCAAGGACACGTTCCCCGTGACCGACGTGGCTCTGGGGCACCGCGTTCAGCTCGTGCCTGGTAACCCTACCGGCGCCCGGCCCACCCATTCAAACCCGCGATGATCGCCACCCGCGATGACTCCACTTCTCCGACCTCCGTGGCTGCCCCTGCCGACGATCCCGCGCACCTTCCGCTCGCCCTCGGTAAATGCCAACCTTTTCCTCTCGGCAGCCTTTTTCCTCTCGGCTTTGCGATCACCGATTCGCGGCGCGCTCTGCGAACGCAGGGAAAATGACTGCGACGAAGGGCCCGAGAACTTACCGCCGCGTAGCCGGGACGGAACCCGGCACGCCGGCTTCCCCGGCCTCATGCACGCGTCACTACTAAGCGATTGTCTATTCCTTTTATCCTGACTCGCACACGCCACTCCGCCGATTTCCGGAAGGGGTTAAGTCGCGCTCAAGGACAAGGGAAAGGGAGCACCAGGGAGAAGTGACCCTCGTGACAGGAGGGGAAATGACGCGCACGACAACGTGCACTGATACTGGAGGACGCGATCCTACTTCTGTCCCGCGATCGTGCCGACTCACTCGACAAGATGCGACGCAACACCCTCCGCGTCCCACTGTTCCGGTGATACGCCCTGTATCGCGCCGCACGGTGGCAGCACCACTTATACAGGGTGCGATGTAACGAGGTACGGAAATTGGGAAAGGGTGGGTGATGACGACACGCTTACCGCGCATCGAGCGAAAGAGATGGAGATTGACTAGGGTGAGACGCGAATCGAGACCGACGCACAGGGAGTATCACCGAAGTTCAATCGAACGGAAGAAAATCCTGTTAGCACCAAGCCACGGTTACAATTTCACATATTGTGCAAATGGAAACACGTTGGGGTGAATAAGTCCGCCATTACGGTAAACCAATCCAATGAATAATTGAGAATAACATAGCGGAAAAATTCATAATGCAATTCAAGATTAATAGGGATAGATTAGTGTTGTGAAGAATACAGATATCACGATTGATATGATTCCTTCGCGTGAACATGCTGTCCTCGCTTCTAAACTGCCACTACCCCCTTCACCCTCACGCGCCATGTTCCTGATTTTCGAAGGAAGCTATTGGTGGCAGCACCGCAGACCACGAGACGCCAGTGTCGAGTATGGGTGGTCAAGGAGAGTCGCGGGGGTGAATTGTTCAGAGTGAAACAGGGGCAGTGGGATAACCTCGATTAGTTGGTAGAAGATATGCCGAGTAAACCGACATGCCAATCTTGATAATTAACCTCTTCCCAGCCACGCACGCACTATGCGGTTCGTAAACAATTCTTTCCTTCTTTTTTTTTTCATGTTTTTTCTCTCACTCAAGCAATATTAACTTATTGCAGCTAACAATAAATATGAAATATAAAATAAGCATCTCAATAAAATATATCTTAAAATCTCGGATTCATTTTGTTGCTTCTAATTAAATAAGTACTAACTTGAGCATTTTGCATTAAATTCTGATTAATTAAAATTTGGAATTACTGAAATATTACATCAAATTCTGATTAATCTAAATTTGGGAGACATCGAGATAAAAAGAAAATTTCCTCTTGAAGAAGAAAAAATTTTAAACAAATTATAAGAAGTATCTTTTCATCAATCTTCTATTTATATTTTCCTGTTCCAATAAGAGAGACATTGGGATTAAATTATGCAAAAGTTTTTCTTTGACATCAGAGGAAATAATTTTGAACGTCTGATCGATATCTTCAAACCTTGTTAAAACAATCTTATAAATAATATGTGAAAAAAATGTTAAACGTTCTTCCTTTTCCTCTCTTATAGAATAAAAAGAAGCTGATAAATAAAAGCGAACATATTACTAAAATAAAAGATAATGTATCAAATAATTGTTTATTATAATAGCCAATTAATAATGATTTATTATTATTCATGCTATCAACCCCAAAATATTCTAGTCCAAGCGCAAGTCGCTGGGTGGCAGCACAACGCTAATCGAATTTGTATATAAAGACATGAAGTGGAATGCTCAATTGTATAAAACGAATTCTGCAAAAATGAAAGAAAAAGCTTCTAACAAGCATGGAACAACCGTTGACAAGTGACGATGCGAGTAAAACACGTGGTTGGAGTTTGCTAATCAAGGTTGGCAGTCAGCCAATTTATTCGGTCCAAGTTCACCCGCAATCACTGCATTCGATTACGCAGAAGATAAACGCGATTAATCTACAGAATTGCACTAGACCTTTGTGTTTGCCATTGAACTTTCCCGTTAAAGGATCATTATATCTTTCAAATCTCTCCATTTCGCTACACATGAAAACCTATCGGTATTTACACAGATATATACGTTCCTTCCAGCAATATGATGAAAATTATGAAACAAAGGATCACATTTTTTTTTTCATTTAAGTTTCTTTGATTTATTGCGAGAAAGAGAATCGCTGGCATGTTTCGGCCGACAATTGCAAGATGGCGGTACAACAAAGCGCCGTAAGACGCCATGACTACCTACCTGGTCAATATCAGAAAACGAAGCTCACTTGGCACGCTAACCTCGATTCGAACGCGACACATTCTATGTAATCATGCGTTGTCGTTTCGCACAAAAATTTCAAGAATAAAACAAAATTGCTTGGAAGGAAAACCGTAACAATATTATATACTTTAATTCTTTTAGTTGATAAAAAAATACACCGTAATAATTCAATAATATAATAATTCTAAATGATTGTGATTTAAAATAAGATATAACTAAAATAAGTTAATATAAGACTCTTTGAAAATGTATAAAATCTTGGTGATTTTGAAAGATAATTAACAACTGACCAGATAAATAATCAGATGATGATAAAAAATATTCGAGTATAATAATCTATATATAATTAAAATGGCAACTTATAAGACTAATTATAATTATTAATATAGCTGAAATATATATAAAATATGTATTGTAAAATTTACTAAATTTTAACCAACATAATTAAATTTATAATTACATTTATAAACTGACATTTTTAAACAAATAGATTACAAAATATATATGCAATGCAAGATGTGTGTGTGTGTGTGATTTGCAAAAATAGACACTCTTAAACAAAAGTTTTTCTATTGCTCTTAAAAAATATAAGTATAATTCCCAGTACTATAAAGTCGCGTTGACTTACTCTGTAAGTGGAACTCGCGACTCAACCTTCGTTCGGTCATAAACTTTAAAAAGATAATACTCACTAACTTTTACACAACTAGGACGATTCGATATCGTTAACTTTGCGATTTTGCATCACTAAATTTCTTGCGGGTTGTTTGTGATTTGTTTGAAAATTAACAACTCCCTATTCCTATTCAGGATATAAGTGATCGATGAAAGAAGAAAATACTTTCTAGAGTGTACTCAAAGGCATAAAAGAGATGAGCTCCACAAGGACTCTTTGGTGTATTCCGACAAGCCAGATTACCTCAACTTCAAACAGAAGCAAATAATCAATCAGGAGAGGCTCTTAAAAGCTTTGGAGTACTATTAGCTGTTCAATGAAGTGAGAAATGAATTCTTTCACGAAAAAAAGTAAATTTCGCCATATATATATCCTATTTTGTCGCTTATACGTTTTCTCGTTTAAAAATAATCAACTTCTAACCGACTATTCATACGATAATCCTCTTCGTATAATTTCCTAAAAAAATTGATTTGTTCTTTTTTTACTCTCTCATATATTTTAGTTTTCTTCACTTTCTTCTATATTATTCGCTCTAAGGACAATTATCCTATCGAACCCTAGCATCGAACAATCAAATCGACCATTCATACCAAAGATCGGACAACTTATAACTCTTACACCGATCATTTTATCTACCCACCCGTCGTCACGTGACGGAAAAAGCTATCCGAAGATGATACGTATGCACTATCCGCGGAGCTTTCCCGCGAGTTTCCGGCCCTTCGTCTAGGTCAGTTTTACGCGCACGTTATATTTACTTGATGAGCAATCGGGTTTCGGTATTCTCGAAACAGAGTTTCCGCAGACTCGACCAATCACTGACGCGAATGGTAGCACGGCGTCGGTATAACTGACTTCTCTCTCCTGACCCGTCGTGCATGACCTGCACGACTTATGGCAACCACCCGAAGGCGTATCCGTGGTTGGTCAGCCGGTCGGCCGCGTTCGCTTCCTTTCTTTCTGACTCGCTACCGCGATCTCGCGTGTATATCCGTGGCGTGCCAGTGTCGTGTCGTATCATAAATGACTCTCGTCAACGCCGACGTAGGTTCGGCTTTAGGAAGTGGAACGCGCCGGTACCACCGATGAGATAATGGCCTTCGATTTATGGCAGTTCGATAAGCCAAATAATAATCGAGTCGGATCAACACAAAATCGATAGAAAAATTCCCAGAAAAAATCAAAGCTTTTCTACTATATTAAATAAAATATACTTAATGAATAAAATAATCTTATTTTTACATTGTTTTCATTGATCCAATGCATCTCAGAGTCCTTGAGAGAGAAAGAGAGAAGAAGGAAAGAAGGAACAGGGAGGAAGAGGAAGATATTTTTGCAATTCTTTTTTTATATTAGAGAATATAATTTTATTATTACATTGATACTGTCCTTTCAGTTTTCATTAATTCTCAACGTCTCTAGATCACCGCATTTTTCAAGTGCTTTGTATAATAAAATCGGCAAAGAAGAAGTTACGATGTTTTGAATCCACAATAATTATTATAATTACTGTCTACAATGATTGCTCGCCAGTAGGTTTAAATATCGATTCAAGGGGAAGAGAGAAAGGAAAGAAAAAGTGCTCGACTGATCGGCGCATTACGACCCATTGCAGGTGTAAGAGCTTCGGAACCTCTTGGAGGGTTGACCGTTTATAGGACAGCACTCCGCGGTACGCCGCGACTCGCACGCTTCGCGACCGAGAGTCGGCGACCCTAGATCCATCCTGCCCTAGTATTCCACTACGGTCGTCGGATATGCACGATATGCATCGACAGTGACGCAGGTGACGCACATGAGATGTATTGATGCCGACATCAAATTTATACACCGAGAAAAAATATTAAACTGTACTTGTATAGCAAAAAAATTATAATTGAGATTCCTTTTTTTATAATTATTACTTTACTATAATGTTGCTCTAATAATAATCTTATAGTAATGATGACTTTAAATATAGTTGCCGCTAAAAATAATTATAATTTATGATGAGAACTTTTTTTCTCAATATATAGAACATCATGAAGTCTATATATAATAATTCAAAAAAATTGATGTGACATATATGAGAGAGATTGAATACTGCTTTCGTCAATAAAAGCTCAGTTTCCCAACAATCTCAATTTCCTTTTTTTTTCATTTTCTCTATTTTAATCGTTTTCTAATTCAACATAATTATAGATATAAAAATTACAGATATTTTAAATAAAGATATATATAAATCGAAAGCATACGATATAAATGAATAAACGCACGTTGAAAGAAAAAGTGGACAAGAGCGGGAAAAAGCATCTCGATTACCTGCAGGCAATCTACGACCTCGGTCAATATTGTTGGGTTCAATTGCCCCCCTTTCTCAAGGTAGCTTTTGTTACAGTTCCCGTTCAATATACATGCGATATTACTGATCGATTACGAAGAGCAGTTAAGGATTAACTAAAAAAAATATAGAGTGCCTATACAGTCAATAATACTGACGTATTCTTGGAATCGAGGAAATAACAAAACTTATCAAACTTATTGTACAAAATCTCTTACTATCATTTATATATATATATTTCTTTATCAAAAATATAATTATTAAATTTATTTATTCTATATTATTTCTCTATTATTCTTTACCAATTTAAAAATATTAATTTACACAGGAATTTTTTTCTATTCTGTATCCATGTAATTAAGCTTATTAACGAAAAAATACTTAAGAGTCTACTACTTAAAGAGTCGAGTGGAATACACAAATTTGATCCTTAAAGTAGTTTGCTGAATTATTACTAAATCGACTCGGCGAAAATTGCGGTGAATGAATTTACGCGATGACCTATCTAAATATATTTGCTCATCTATTTTGACGTGATGTCTAACGTGCACAAATACCTTCATCTATGAATAAAACCTCTTTAATTTGACACGATTCGCATGATGTTGAAATAGAAACGTCAATAGAATAATGTCAATAGAAACTGCCGGCAAAATAAATTCTCAGAAATAAGAGATCGTACTTAATTTTTTCAAATTGTCGTTCAAGGATATCCATAAAGAAGTGTCCTTTGCATGCAACATGGAAGCGAATGAAAAAAACAAAAGCTATATCAATTTAAAAAGAAATCAATATCTTTGCGTGTGTTCAAAATATATAATATCGTGTAATTCATAGATGATAAATATAT